TTTCCCCATCTTTAAAATACTCTATCTTTAACCATTACTGGATTTCAAAATTATCATAAATATAGGTGAATCTCTCTTTTCTAATAAAACATTTTAATTTTAATACAAGCATCATAATGGTGTTAAAATATTTCTGTGGAATCTGACTAGGATATTATTAGTCATGAACTTCTTTATTCCTCCCTAATTTATTACTTTTCATTGTTTCAACCAAAAATATATTGTCAAATGTAGAATAACTTTAAAAAAAAGTATTCTACCATGCGACACTTGTTTAAAGCTCTCAGGAATTTAGAACCAGGCCTTAAGATTGTTCTACTGCGAAATGAGCACTAAACTCTACCCCGCCCATTATACTGTACTAGGGATCTCATCTTACATATACCATTCATTCCTAAGTACACTTAGAGCACTGTCTGACATAATTCAGCTGCAGAGATGAATAACCAAGGGGTAACCTATGCAGAACTGAAGGTAGCCAAGAACTCAAAGAGGCAGCAAATAAAACCTAAGGGCACTAAAAGTTCCATTTCAGTAACTGAGCAGGAAATAACCTATGCAGAATTAAATCTTCAAAATGCTTCTCAGAATCTTCGAGGGAATGACAAGAACTACCACTGCAAAGGTAAGCCATTTAATAGTCACATGATGGAACTGTTCTAGGATATGCAGTTGGAGTACAGAGGTTGGAGAAAGAGTAGGGGATAAGTTCACATATTTTTCATTTTGAGGAACAGAACTTAAAGTTGGATATGGTATTCTAATGTGAAATTGGAGGACTACTTTTATTCTGGCATTGCTGTAATTTGTAGTCTTTGATCAACAACTCATGAAGCATTATATATGCTGAAAATGCAATGGTTTATTCTGAGAGAAAGATTATAGTGGTAGAAATGGGCTTGGGGTCCAAGTTTATATATATAACTCCCTGTTTATGTGGGTTCTCTTGTTTGTAAACTTTCTAAACAACTGTCACCATCACTCTTTTCTCAGTGTTTCCTTTTCTTTCCCTGCAGATTTACCATCACCTCCAGAGAAGCTCATTGCTGGGGTTCTGGGAATTATCTGCCTTGTTTTGATGTCCAGTGTGGTAACAATGATAGTTTTTACTCCCTGTAAGTAGATTTTTGAAAAATTGTAAGGGAACTTTACACTTCAATGATGGTCAGTGCCTCTAAACACTTCATAATATTATGGAATGGGCATCTCATTAAAATGTATGCATTTAGACTAAATGTGGAATGGTTATTCTGAATTTGTCAAAAGTATACAACACAATAATTACAGAGAGTATGTATGTGTATATTCTGATTTCATAACTCAAAAGCATGCTTTAGGAGATTGAAAGATCTTATTGAGAAATACAAATAAATTCTTGAGATTGGTTAAAACAAACACTATAAGAGACGGTGATCTGTTCCTTTAGGCTTTTAAAATATTTTTTCAACCAAATCTTCATTACTTAATTTTTCTTGGTAAAATCAATTTTATTCCAGATTATTCTAATCCTAAGCAATAAACCAAATTTCAACTCAGCAACTACAATCATTATGATTTATTTAGATCAATATTAACTTTTATAATGATTAATTTTGTAGCTACTGCAATACGGGAGCAGAATAACTCCTCTCCGATAAAAAGGCTCCAGAAAGGTACATAATGATTTTCAAAGTTCTGATATAAATACAGTTTGTATTTTGTCTCTATCTTAGGCTAGTTAAAATGAGAATAGATTTTGGGGTTGAACATAAATTACAAAATCGGGCAACAAATATTCATAAATAATGATTATAGGAGAGTGTTTCTCCCTATGCAACAATATGATCACCATACCCACTGTTGCCACTGGCTCAAATTTCCTCCCTCTGTAATATGATAAGAGACAAATAATTTTGCTATTCTAAAACAGAGGTTTCATTTCTTGATTTTCAGGACATGTAAAGAGTGGCTATTTCTGTGTGTTTGCTTTATATGGAGACATAAATTGGGGGGTGAGAGATTGACACTTCTGTGAATGTATGAGTGTGGTTTGTTTTATATGCACCAGCCTTGAGGGTGCATAGATGTGTTTTATATATATATACACACATATATATTTATACCTATGCATATATGTAAGTTAGTTTTCATTTTTTAAAATTCAAATTGTTTTTAGATAATAATTCACAATCTTTCTTCAGAATGTCATTCTGGTCATTGTCCAAAAGAGTGGTTTACATATTCCAACAATTGCTATTATATTCATTTTGAAAAAAAAACATGGAATGAGAGTGTGACGGCCTGTGCTACTAAGAATTCTACTCTGCTTTATATAGATAATGAAGAAGAAATGGTAAGATACTAAATGTTGCAAACACTTTGTTAAAGGCTTGATTCAGTCAATATTATATTTGCTAGGATTCACTTGTGGTTTTGTACATATTTGCAGTTTGTTTAAGGCCTATTAATGTTCCAGTAAACAACAGAATACAACTTTTTGATATTCTATTTATATTTTTATACCATTAATACACGTTTGATAATTTCCAGTTCTTGCTTTTCATAAAAATACATGTTTTTACAAATGCTATTATTTTCTAAAATAAACTGTGCTATTTACTTTTACAATATATAAAGGAAAATAAACATATCATGATTTTGCATATTGATCACAAAATGTATAGAACCATGTAATTGCATATCAGATCATGGAATAGAAGTTTCCACTTCACAGCAGCCCCACTCCTCTGTATTCTCTCATCACTTCTCCACCCTCCTTGTATACCCACTGTCCTGACTTTTGATATTATAGAATCTCTTTGCTTGTTTTATTTTTTTTTTGGTACACGGGCCTCTCACTGTTGTGGCCTTTCCCGTTGCGGAGCACAGGCTCCAGACACGCAGGCTCAGCGGCCATGGCTCACGGGCCCAGCCGCTCCGCGGCATGTGGGATCTTCCCGGACCGGGGCACGAACCCGCGTCCCCTGCATCGGCAGGCGGACTCTCAACCACTGTGCCACCAGGGAAGCCCCTCTTTGCTTGTTTTTGAACTTCATATACATGGAATCATAGAGTGTGCATTTTTCTTCCTGTCTCCTCTCACCCCCATATGCTATTTTTGCAATTCATCCATATTATTGCATTTGTGTGTAGTTTGTAAATTTCCACTGCTCATTATGTAAATATAACATTTAAAATCCAATCTATCCAATGTCTCTGGGTACAGATGGAGTCTTATGCCCTCAGATATAAAGAGGCTTCCTGGGTTCAGTACTTATAGTCATGGGATCCCCTTTGCTGGTCCCACCTCCACCCCTACCCCCCAACTCTTGTAACTCTTGGAGGGGGGGAGGAGAAGCACTTACTGTGGCTGCTTCTTGTTAGCAGGTGTCCTGCTGGATCACCTTGTAAGGCTCACCTGGTGTTGCCCACAGGATTCCCCTCAACACCATGGAGGAATGGCTAGGCTGGGTGTTGGGAAGCAGCAGGCCTAGGTCACTTTCTTCGGTTGGGTGGTGGATATAAGATGCCCCTAATAGTTGTTCCTTAACCCCAGGTCACCTTTCTCTTTCCACCTTTCAGAGTTCTCCTTGACTTGTGTCTTTCATTAGTTCCAGTGTTTACAGTTGTACTTAGCAGGGCGCAGCTGAGAGAAATGAGTCTCTGACTCCTTGTCTGGTCCCTTGGATTCCAGCAATACAGAAACAGAGTGATTGGGGGTTGATCTAGTCAAAGAACGGTGTGAGCCCCAGGAAACCAAATCTTTGGCTTTCGTGTCACTTATTTTCTCAATTTCATTCCCTTAATTTCCTTCTAAAACTGAAACTCTGAGAAACATAGAGGAGAAATCCATTGATACAGTCACAGTATCTTGAGAAATGGATGTCACAGAATCTAAAAGCTTATTTAAAGCCTTGCTATGTTAGTTTTGACAACATGGGTAACAATTGAATTACATGAATCAGAATTTTCCTTATTAACCTAAGAAAAACAGTGAAACTGCTAAGCATAACTGTTTGAGTTAATTTTACATCGGAAGTACAGACCTTGGTTAATGTTTTTGGCAATATTAAAACTTTCAACTTTAATATATTTTTAGTGTTAGATGAGACCCTTAACACTCTTATTTTGTTCAGAAAACTAAGGATCCTATGAAAGAACACACTACTTGGCTTTGAAAAATTCATAAAAATCTTTCATAATGACTATTTAAGTGAAAATTCTTTATTTTTGGCTAGAAATTCCTGATGTCCCTATCAATTATGTCATGGATTTCAGTCTTTCGTAAAGGCCGTGATCATCCATGGATGTGGCTAAATGGTTCAACTTACAAACTACGGTAAGTTTTTAAAAATAATACTGTATAGAGGAGGAAAAGATTAAAAATAAAAATTTAAAGAATAATATTAAAACATTTGTTTTAGTTGAATTATAGAAAGATGAAGGAAGATGTTGAAAGTTAATAAAATGTTGATATAATGATTAAAGAATGGGCTACTCAGTAGCCCATTTCCCTAATAACAAGATCTTACTAAAATTATATTAAAATATCATTACCCATTTTCAAAATATCTTTTATTACAGTGACATGGAAAATGTGATTGTTTCATGAGTTGTCCTCATATGATATAACAGAATTGTGCATTTTTTTCCATTACAGTATAACAGACTCATCACCTGATAAACGTAACTGTGCTCTGCTGTATTCAGATGGCATTAAATCAGACAATTGTGAGTTTCCACATACATATAATTGCAAGGATCACCTTGAGAAAACGTGAGTTTGGATGCTGTTGAGTAACTTTAACTTTTATGAAATGGAAATAATATTATGATTGTATAAATTTTAAAATGAATTATATTGAAATATAATATGCACACCAAAAAGTATAGATATCGTTACTTTTGTATCTGGCGTTTTTTACTCTATATTATTTTTATGGCCTTCAACCTTTGTAAAAGATTGCATGTTGTGTGAGTCCATTTATATGAAATATCAAGAAGAGGGAAACCTGTTCTAGAGGCAGAGAGTGGATTGTTGGTTACCAAGGGCTGAGCAGAGGTAGGATTGGAAAATGACTGCTAATGGTTATGATGTTTCTTCTGGGGGCGATGAAAACGTCTAGAGTTTGTTAGTGTTGATGGTTGTAAACTCTGTGAATATACTAAAGAAAAAAAATCACTGATTTATACACTTTAAGTGGATAAATTTTATGCCATGTAAATTACACCTCAATAAAGCTGTTTTAAAACAAAAATCCTGGAATTATGTTTGGGATTGCATTTAATCTTCAAAGTAATTTGTAAAGATAGTCATCTTTACAATATTTGCTCTTCCAGTCAATATCATGCTTTATCTCTCTATGAATTAGGTTTTCTTTAAATTCTCCCTATTATATTTTGTATTTTTCTATATTGAGTTCTTAAAGATACATTGGTATTTCACTCTCATGCTTTTGTAAATGACATCCTTATTTGAAAATTTTTAGTAAGCTTTGCTGCTGTAAACAGTAATACAATGAGGTTTACATATTGGTCTTATAGCCAATGATTTCTCTGACTTTATGTATTGATTCTGTCATTTCAAATATATAGTCTTCTGGATTTTTATATAACAACTATTGCATTTGTAAATAATCACACTTTATTTCTTCTTTTCAGATGCAATTTTTTTTCTTGACTTATTTTTATAGGCTAGGATTTTATTTCCAATGTTGAATAGCAGGTACAGTAAAGGTTCTATATGTATCCTTTTCTATTTTCGAGGAAAAGATTTCAATATTTCATCAATATGAGGTTCATCTTAAGGTTTTTTTCATCATAAGTTTCTCATATGAAAACAATTCCATAATATTCTCATTTTTCAAATTTTATAATCAATTGACGTTACATTTGTATTATTTTTCCATCAGTTGTAATGATAAATGTTTTCTCTGTATAATGGTTATGAAGTAAATTACCTTTATTTCTTTCATATGTTAAACCAGTCTTGCATTTTGAAGTAAAATCACAATGATCATGTGTTGTCCTTTTTTAAAAAATCAATGCATATATTATATCTAGGTCAAGCTAGATAAAGTTTTTCTTTATGTGTGTTCCCAAAGAAATTTGACTGAGTTTTCATTTACATTATGTACTTGACAAGTTGTTACCAAGGCTATTATTAGGAAGTATTTCCTTTTCTTTTACCTGGATCTTTGTGAAAGAGTTCTGCTACGTTTTCAAGTGTTATTATTCACTACCAATGCCATCTGAGCCTCTAGAACTTTTTTGTGGGAAGGTTTATATAACGAACTCAATTTCTTTACAATATGTGTTAGGTTTACTCAGCTTTATATTTTTTGTGATGCATTTTGGTAATTTTCTATTTAGGATTTTTCTATTTTTTATAGATACTAAAATGTTTTCATAATATTGCTTTTTTATCTGTAAAAACCACATGGTATCCCCATATTTATTATAGACATAAAAGACTTGTTTCTTCTCAAATTTTTTTTTTTTGGCCACACCGCATGGCTTGTGGGCTCTTAGTTCCCTGACCAAGGAATGAACCCGGGGCCTCGGCAGTGAGAGCGCGGTGTCTTAACCACTGAACCATCAGGGATTCCCTCTCCTCACCTTTCTTTCAGCAATCTTTTATCAATTTTATTAAATGTTTTCAATGAGAATACATTTGGCCTTGTTCCTCTTTATTGCAATTTTGTTCTTTGTCTTGATTTTGTACTATTTATTGTTTTCTTCCTTCTACTTCATTTGGTTTTAATTTCACCTAAATTTAGCTTTTCCATTTTTAGTTTCTTGTGATGCATGCTTGGATTTCTGCTTTGTTTTGTTTCATTTAGTTTGTAAGGTAAGCATTTAAGGCAATCAATACTTCACAAGACAGACATTTGGTTTTATATTTTCCTTGTAATTCTTATAAAAATTTTGAACGTTCATTGTGGTCATTTCTATGGTCCATCTGTTACTTAGACATTTATTACTGAATTTAACACTATATAAGATTTTCAAATTTTTGGTTATTGACTTCTGCATATAGTAAAGAGCATTCTATTTGGTTAGAGAACTTTCTGTGAAGCTAGAAATATTCCACATATTTGTTAAAAGTGGCTGGTGTGAAAGAGGAACCAATATTAAAATATTATTTTTTTAACTAATTAAAATTAAATTTGAATACCCACATTTCAAGTGCCCACTTGCCAAACTTGGCTAGCAGCTACTGCAGTGACACCACTTCTATATTTTTATATGAATATGCTTAGAAATATGATTTATAGTGTATTTTTTGAAAATTTCTATGTAAAAAAAATATGAATAGTCCATACTAGTATATAGTATGTGTTCTACATATATGTATTGATTAGTTGTCTAGTTTAAATCTTTCTTTAGCTTTACTGATATCTGCTTGTTTGTAAGCAGTGAGAGAGAATTGTTTAAATCTCTATTTGTAATAGTTCACTTTTTTAAAACTTATGTTGAACTTGTATTATTAAGTACATAAAAATTTTAAAAAAAACATTGCTAACAGTTTAGATACTCTATCTATCATTATGAAACATGCTTCATCATTTCCAATACGGTTCTTGCCTTCTATTATAACAGTATACTAACTATAGCAATTTTCTACTGGCTTGTGTTGCATGGTATATTTTTCATCTTTTTACTTTCCTCTTTCTTTAGGCTTTTGTTAAAGGAGTTTCTCATTAAGATAGTGACAGTTATTTTAAATATAAATATTCATAGAATTTAAATTGGAAGTTACTCTATATTTAACATAATTTTTAAATTATTATAAGATATATTTACATATATTATTTATATATAAGTATGTATAGTATGTATATATAATTAATTAAGTATAACATAGTTATCCTTAATCAGAGATGAATGTTACCATTTCTTTGAACTCCACTTCTTTTGTTGTTTTCTTTTTATCTTTCACAATAACTATTTTAACTATTTTAACTATCCTCTGTTGTCAGTTTAATGTTTTAAATATTATGTTATTAGTGCCCCACATTTTACAGCATAAATTCTTAACTCATTAAAGTCTAACAAATTAGTACCTTTACCCTTTCTCGAAAAGTGAAAAGACATAACTACCTTCTAACTTTATTTACTGCTTATGCCGTATTTGCTCCCTTGAATTCGAATACAAATATATATTTTAAAATTTGAAACTTTATTGTTAATATTTTATCGACTCAATATCCATTAAATATATCCACATAATTTTTTCAACTCTTCTTTCCCTTCTGCATATCCAGGTTTTCACCTAGAATCAGGGTTTCTTTTTTTATATATACATCTTTATTGGAGTATAATTGCTTCACCATGCTGTGTTAGTTTTGTTGTACAACAAAGCAAATCAGCCATATGCATACATATATCCCCATATCCCCTCCCTCTAGAGCCTCCCTCCCACCCTCCCTATCCCACCCCTCTAGGTGGTCGCAAAACACGGAGCTGATGTTCCTGTGTTACGCAGCTATTTCCCACTAGCTATTTTACATTTGGTAGTGTATATATGTCAATACTTCTCTCACTTTGCCCCAGCTTCCCCTCCCAACCCTGTGTCCTCAAGTCCATTCTCTAAGTCTGTGTCTTTATTCCTGGCCTGCTGCTAGGTTCATCAGTACCATTTTTTGTTTTTAAATTCCATATATATGTGTTAGCATATGGTATTTGTTTTTCTCTTTCTGACAGTTCATTCTGTATGACAGACTCTAGGTCCATCCACCACATATAAATAACTCAATTTCGTTTCTTTTTATGGCTGAGTAATATTCCATTGTATATGTATGCAACATCTTCTTTATCCATTCATCTGTCAATGGACACGTAGGTTGCTTCCATGTCCTGGCTATTGTAAATAGTGCTGCAATGAACATTGTGGTACATGTGTCTTTTGGAATTATGGTTTTCTCAGGGTATATGCCCAGTAGTGGGATTGCTGGGTCATATGGTAGTTCTATTTTTAGTATTTTTAAAAAATAAATTCATTTATTTATTTATTTTTGGCTGCTTTGGGTCTTCGTTGCTGCACGCGGGCTTTCTCTAGTTGCAGCAAGTGGAGGCTATTCTTTGTTGTGGTGCGCAGATTCTTCTCACTGCTGTGGCTTCTCTTATTGTGGAGCATGGGCTCTAGGCATGCAGGCTTCAGTTGTTGTGGCACGCAGGCTCAGTAGTTGTGGTTCATGGGCTCTAGAGCACAGGCTCAGTAGTTGTGGCGAGTGGGCTTAGTTGCTCCACGCCATGTGGGATCTTCCCGGACCAGGGCTTGAACCCGTGTCCCCTACATTGGCAGGAGGATTCTTAACCACTGTGCCACCAGGGAAGTCCTTATTTTTAGTTTTTTTAGGAACCTCCATACTGTTCTCCATACATTTGCTGTTTCTAGATTTCTTGATAATGGCCATTCTGACTGGTGTGAGGTGATATCTCATTGTAGTTTTGATTTGCATTTCTCTAATAATTAGTGATGTTGAGCATGTTTTCATGTGCCTCTTGGCCATCTGTATATCTTCTTTGGTGAAATTTCTATTTAGGTCTTCCACCCATTTTTAAATTGGGTTGTTTGTTTTTTTTGATATTGAGCTCCATGAGCTGTTTGTATATTTTGGAGATTAATCCTCTGTCCATTGTTTCATTTGCAAATATTTTCTCCCATTCTGTGGGTTGTCTTTTTGTCTTGTTTATGGTTTCCTTTGCTGTGCAAAAGCTCTTAAGTTTAGTTATGTCCCATTTGTTTATTTTTATTTTCATTACTCTAGGAGGTAGG